AAATTCATTTCACTGGAGGGACAGTTACTTTCGCTTCTTAGCCACAAATATGAAGAAACTAAATCAATCTGCAAAGTAATAAAAACATATCTCGCTCTATTGCATTATGGCGAACCTCATTTCATTAGCCTTGGTTTTTATGTTTTCATGTTAGCTCCATCTGCTGGTAAATCAGACCAACACCATTTAGCACTAGAGCGCAGATATTTCATTTGACAACAAAAACGTATGGCATCAGCATTCTTTAATAGATGTTATGATCAAATTAAATATCTTTTAAGATTTAGTTAAATGGCTGGATCTACCTGTGCATATGCATGATCCCTAAAAATATGGATGAAATTACAGTCTAATAGTGGCATAAACTGGTATACATAAAGATCATAGAGTATCACTATTGTAAAATTTTAACTGTTAGTAAATGCTCAAAAAATAATTTTGGAGAAATTGCATGTCAATCTAATGTGACCTGAATAACGTCAGCCTCATTTTTGACCATTTATCATTTATTTAGATATCAACCTTTACAGGACCCTGGCATATTTTCAACTCTGTCCTGCTCTCTTTTATCAGGCATTGTTTTTACATTTCTGTCTCACTCAGCATTGATACATCTTATTTTTTTGCATCTCTGTGGGCTCTTCATTCATTAAAACATATTTAATAAAATTATACTGAGTCATACAAGATTAACTATGTTTATTTGCTCATTGATAAAAAATGTATAATTTATTTAGATATCAGCTTTTATGGTATCTGGCATATTTTCAATTCTGTCACTACTCTCTTTTATCAAACATTGTTTTTGCATTTTTGTCTCACACAGCATTGGTTTTCTTTTTTTTGCATCTCTGAATCTCTAAGGGCTCTTAATTCATTAAAATTAAAATTATACTAAGTCATACAAAATTTACTAGGTTTGTTTTCATTAACTAGATTTTTCCTGAGTCATCAGTAGTCCCAGGGAAGCATATCCCAGCCTTTGAGACAACATAATGTGAACTCTAGCTAAAGCCATGTAAACACTTGTTAGGTTAATTTATGTCTGAAGGCCATTTTGTTATTTAAATAGCTGAAAATGTGCATCTTCATTAAAATCGAGACAAATGAACCACATCTCCTACTCTCCCATTCCCCTTGTAGGTTTGATTCCACAGCTCAGTGAAAATGGTGTGAAGCAGTTGGCTATTTGTGTGGCTTTTCAGAATGTCAGTAAGCACTCCCTATGGTCGAACACAAGTATGAAACACTGCTGTTTTCCATGTATCATATGCCTGCCTCTTACTTTTGACCTATCTCAAGCTTTTAACAAGATCAAGGCGAAAATGGAGGGGCCCCTGTGGCATTTCTATCAGCAAGTTGACCCACAGTTGAGCACAGCCACTTCTTTGATTTCCTCTAAAGGGTAAGTACTGTACTGTAACTGGGACGGCTCTGCTCTGAGTGCTCTTTCGCTGTCTCACCCTCGTTTCTGCCACTCGGATTGTCCAACAGTTGAACCCATCGCACAAAGCAGCAGAGAAGACAGGAAGTTTATGGTCCCACTTCTACATCATGTTTTATTTAAAGACAGAGATTAAACATTAAATTCCCTTCAAACCTTTTTTTTTTTTTTCATGTGAGAGGCTGAGGGGAAGCTCTGTTGGTGATAGTGTCATGTCATCACAGAGAGCTCATATAATACAGTTCACCTCATTTACTGGTTCAATATATTGCTGCTTGCTACTGCCAAAGAGTGCTCCTGGACATTCTGCTGGAGACAAACCACATAAAGAAGGTGGTCTCAAAAAGCACTATGAATACAACTCTATTTCCTTTGGGTGTGTATTAGCATGGTAGCACGACAACTTATAGTGCCACTTCCCTGGAAACATTAATTATTTTCTAGATAATGATATTCTAAAACCTGCAGAGTCTTGCACAAATGACTTTGGTTTGGGGATTATTTAGTGTTAATTAGTTAAAAACTGTTAAATGCTGTCATCTAGAGAAAACGTATTCCCTATTGTGCAAAGTACAGCTCAGAGACATTATATAAATGGTGAAAAATAATAATAAAAGTGTATGTTAACTGGCCAATTAGGAAATCAAATCATTAGTCTAATGTTCCTCTGAGATAAACAAATAAAGAACACAGCAAACGTGCATCTCATGGAAAGTCTGTGTGCAATGGTAGTGACTTTAGGCACTGTAGATAAAAACTAAGAGAAAGCAGTCACTGTGAAAACATTTTTCTCCTTCTCGTCTTCTTTCCTTATTTTGTAAGCATTTATTCACACTCCAAGAGTTCAAGACATAACAACAGCACATTGTTGGACAAAGGTCCACTGTTTAGCTTCTATTATGACTGTTGGTGTTTAGATGGAGCCATCTTTATCCTCCATAGCTAGGTTACCCAGGGTCAGGATACAGGGAAAAGCATTACTTAGAGAGAGCTGCACAAAAACAGTTCTAGTCAAGGATGCGAGAAATGAAGCAAAGGGCAAGACACATATAACATTAATAAGGTAAGAGCATGCAACAATGGTTTTCCCACATATAGGTTGAGACTATAGTTTGTAGTAAGGTACGGAAGAGTGATGCAACCATGTGACACCTTGGAATACACTGTATACGCCCTGTAGGACCAGACATCTTCAGAAAATCACCTGATCCTCATACAGCTGAAATGAGAGGACTGCAGTTGGCCTCATCAACATGGTCAAGAGACCCCCACTGTCACTGACTGCCCCCCACCACCCAGAAGTAAAAGTGCCTTACACATTTCTCATGCATATTCTTGTTTTTCATACTGTAACTACTGCACATTCCCCCATTTCTACTGCGAATTTTACGTATTTTTTCTAACATTTTTATTGTAAATATTTTATTGAAAAAAGAATTTTTTTTTGCAGTTCTTGCTTTTGCTTTATATTTTTTCTTCTTACTATTGTTATGCACCAAAACACCAAAACAAATTCTTGGTGTGTGAAAACCTGCTTTCTGGTTTCTCTATACTGGACTGTATTATTATCATTATGTTAATATATACTTTTTTCTCTGTACATAATGAAGCCCCTTTACAAAATCACAAACATGTCATTACCAATAAAATGGCAAAAGAAACATTTCTACCAAGACAGACGTATTTATTGGTGAAATGGTCCTTTAAAACATGTTTAATGATTATACTGGTATATATTACTTACCCTGTTGGATACGCTGTTTATGTAGCTGCTGCACGTCACCGAGAAGTGGCTTTCCTCTTACGTTTTCCTTGTGAGTCAGATTATGTCTGCCTACCTGTGAACAGATATGGACATGCATGTGTTTGTCAGTGTTCTGAACTGAATAAAATGTGAAGGTGAGTCAGCAGGGAGCTGGTGTTGGAATGAGCTGGATTGATGTGCTCACAGCGGACGGCCACGGATCCATCATCTGCTTGTCTAAATTGAGCTCCCGGGTTTATTCAGAGTAGGGTAGACCTGCAGTATACTGCCCTTTACAAGTCTGTGCTGCACGGGAGGCCACTGCAGAGAGGTCATTGTAGTAGCTTTATTCACACATGAATGCACAAGCGAACAGTGCACGAACACACCGAAACACACACATATGCACAACACACACTGTTGCTGAGCAGACCTGTGCAGAGGGCTAAATTAGGAACAAAGCTGTAATACCAGTGTGACAGAGCAGCTGTGCGTCTAGACTCTGTGACTTAGCACTATAACAGGACAGATGTAGCACACATTTACATTTTACCTTCAAGAGAATACACTGCACCACTTCTTATTCTCAGTTTGTTAGCAGATGTTCACCACGTCTAGAATAAATCCATCACATACGACAAGTGTTTTTTTTTCCTGTGAGTTGACACATGGACAGACAGTACGAGACAAAAGCATGCTACGAAGTAGGACTGAAATCTTCTAGTATTCTTAATAAAACATTGAAGATACAAAAACACTAACACTGTTCCAAGAGGGATGGCAGGAAGGGTCTATTTTTTATAAACTCACTCATATATTTTAAATGAAGAAACATATTCTACCTCAGCTTGTTTGGATGCATTTGGCGAGTGTGCTTACAAAGCTGCAGCTGCACTTTGTAAGCACTGCGAGTTTATCATGTGTTGCCAATAAAATTCAATAACTGATGCTAGTTCAGGGCTTTAAATCTGCTTCCATATACCCTTGAGGCTCAATGTCAGCCAATTCAGTTCAGGGTAGATGTGTAAAAAAAAAAAAAAAAAAAAAAAAAAAAAAAAGGCTGTCAAGAAAGATGGAGCTGTGGCAGTCCACATGTATTATATATTAATAGCACACGTTTGATTGATTGGTTTGTATCAAGATGAGGTGAAGACATTGATAAATATTCTGCAACTCAAGTGAAACAAGAGTAAAAACAAACCCAGAGATATTTATTTTCAAAAATGCACCTTATACAATATCAAATACACATTTAAAAAGTAGCGACTGTTGTTGTGACACTCGACTCATTCGTCCACAATGGCACTAAATAAAAAAACAAATATACAGATGAAAATCAATACTTCTTTGCTGTGATCATCCTAAATATTAAGTTGTTACATTTAAGTCAGGGGATGTCAGTCATGTTTGTCTCCAACAGCATAACGGTATCATTGATCTCGGATGGTATTAAGAGATTAAAAGGTTCCCTGTCCTCTCTGTGTTGTTGACAAGCGTTGTGACTCATTACAGCCATTAGCATTAAGCTGGCTCATCAATAAGCACTTGGCTGATCCATCAGTCTTCCTCAAATGTAGCCCAAGGGACCCTGCTATAGGTCCCTGCCAGCTCTGAGAGAGGACGCATGGGCATCCTTAATGTATTGGTCACCACACACACACACACACATCTACAGTATAGACACAGACACAGACACACAGACACACACACACACACACACACACACAGACACAGACACAGACACACACAGACACACACAGACACACACACACCACACACACACACACACACACACACACACACACACACACACACACACACACACACACACACACACACACTCACCTACCCCAGTGTTTGCCTGACAGCGAGGGATTCAAGTGTCACTGTGAGCCTCTGTTCGTTAAAGTTCTTTGTTGATGCTGCTGTAAGTGTTGTGTCAGTGTAACCACTTCTGCTTGTCAGCATGTTAGTGTTGTCAGTGCACTCTTGTTTGTCATTTTGTTTTGTGTTGACTTGATCATTGAGGCCTTGAATGTGTGTGTGTGCGTGTGTGTGTGTGTGTGTGTGTGCATGCGTGGGAGAGACAAAAAGCAGGGAGTTTTTTTAAGTTAGTACTTTTGCTGTAACCGTCAACTTTAGTATTTCCTTATACAGTATTTTCATTTCTGTATGCAAGGTAGGTGTCGCTGTGTGTGTGACTGTGTAGGTGTCGGGTATGGCAGTGTCAGTGTCAGTCAGTGTGAGACTATGCAGTGTCAATGTATGACAGCCAGACATAGTCTGATATGATAGTGTGCCATAGTGAATGACAATGTCTCGACTTAGATACCGGTGCGCTGTCTTTGAGAGCAGGAGTGTAAGAGACAGAGACAAAAAAAAAAAAAAGACAGGAATAAAGGACATATGTTGGCGGGTGTTACAGTTCATCATGGAGGGCCTCTCCCTCTGCGTGGTCCAGAGCTCCCATCAGCAACAAGGCTCCGGTAGCGTTGTCTCTTACAAAGATGATGAAGGGGTGATCTGCGTAGAACAGCTTGGGCTTTTCTACCTTCTCCTCCTCTAGGTCTGACTCTCCTCTCCCAGCCTGAGCAGCCAGCTCGAGGGAAGCCCAGTGGAGGACGCCACCCAGATGAAGCTTCCCTTTGCTCTTGCCAGACACACCGGAGAAATCGGCCACCTTCTGGTCCCAGGCGTCAGTCAAGCCCAGAGCAGACAACTGTTTCTGATACAGAAAACACAAAAGTGATGGGATTTATGAAAGCGCCTTGAATTAAAGTGTCATGGCGCTCGAGGCCATCCTACATAGAGACGACATAGAGTGTACGCAAACAAACAGCTGCTAGGACACTGATCAATTATGCACGCAAACAGACCAAACAACGAGTGGGAGGGAAAGCACTTTTTAAAATTTCATAATGCTGTGACATTCAGAAGTGGGAAACATGCACTGCCCTTCCAGGACCTCGCCACATGATTAACGTAAACATAAACATACCCTCCAAAAACAGTCAATCATCAACTTTTCTGAAGGAGTTTTTCACCATGTTTATTTACTTTCTATCCCAAAAATCCGAGACGGGAGGGAGCCTGACAGTTGCCCTTGTTGCGAGCTGGCAGAACAAAGTGGGCGACAGGCAGAGAGGAGACGGAAGGAGGAAGCAGAGGATGAATAATTTAAGAGTGATGCCCCGTGACCTCAGCACCCCCTTTGTTTTGCCTGATATGAATTCCACAGAAAGTCGTCGTCATGACAGGTAGTTTATCCTCCCATGGCAGAGGGCCACTCACAGTGACAGGCTTCTCCAGGGGCCAGATGAGAGCATGTGTGGGTGTGAGTGTGGGCTTGTGTGTGTGGATGCGGAGAAGGCCATGGCTAGAAGAAAAGTTGCAGAGACAGATGAGTGGGTGACGATATTGTTTTCTACTGTAGCATTGTTTAAACTTTAGCTGATTAAACTCTTTAGTGGAACTATCTTTTAGCAGCAGACAGGAACACTAAATCATTTGGATGAGTTGTCTGGGTAAATGTAAATGTTCTGTGGGTGCAGCCTTGCTGACTTTGGCTTTCTTTTTAAAACCACATTGTTATAGCTCTATATAATGCCTCTTAGCTCCTAAACCCACCAGCTAATAGACAATTGTAATAATCCATGAGGAGTGTCTGCGTAAAAGTTGAGATGTGCATGCAAGAGGATGTTAAACTGGATCATGTCGGCTTATTCCTTAACATGAAATAAAGTACATGTATATACGGTTAGAGTTGTAGGCATGTGTCACTCCCCCTCTACTGTTTCCATGCAAAGCTCCCCCTCCATGCAGATGCACACACGCCACCTCCTGCTCTAATGCACTTCTATTGTCCTCATCCATTATTCCCCCACTCTTCCTCTCTTCTTCCTCCCGCTACCACTACATCACTGTCTTTCTCTGCTGCTCTGCCACTTGCCTGGCATCCCCATCCCTCATGTGCCCCACGTGCCTCTGTTTTATCCCACTCTCTTTCTCTGCTCCTAACTCAGTCTTTTTCCTCCTCGCCTCATCCTTCTCTTCCTTTGAAAGGCCAACACAACTCAGTATACATTGCCCTCTCCTCTTCTCGACCTACAAAGGCAATCATTTCAAGGCTTTTTTTTTTTTGCTCCTTATCTAACGAGGAAACAGAAACTTGAACAGCTGGATTCCTCAAATGTTGAAGACAAATGAGGAAAAATGTCTCTTTCCTTTTCTCTCTATGTCACTTATGTCCATCCTTCCTCATTCTCTTCACCCAGGTCATTTAGCCTTCAGTGTTGTTGGTATCACCATGAAACAAAGAAAAAGTTACAACCAACTCTCCTTCCCAAAAGCACAAGTTAATTTATTTATTTTTTTGAAGCTATAAAGTGTTTAAAAATTAAGGAACCCCTTGGCATCATGCTGGGAAACAAGCCAGGGGTGTTAGGGGAGCCTATGGAGGCCTCATGCACCGCAGACATGTGGCACTGCATTACACGGGGAGAGAAACCTCTGGGAGGTGCTCTTTGGCTGCCCTTTCTCTCTGAAGCGCCGCATGAATCTTAGATGGAACAGCACTGGGCGGACTTTGCTGATGCCTCGCACACGGCACCACCGAGCTATTTGTCTGGAAGTCAGAGCCACAGGCATTGTCAGCTGGTGGTTTCCTCTGTGTGTGTCTGAGGGTGTGTGTGCGTGGGGGGTGGGGGGTGGGGTCGGTTCAGTTGGCATACAGCGGTCTAGTCTAACCAGGCCTGAGGTAGCATGGCATCAACCCTCAGGCGTGCAGCACTCTGCATCACATTATTTCAGTTTGATGGTTGAGCCCACTAAGTAGCTTGTTGGGTGTACCTGTGGGGGTTTTAAGGGGATAGCTCGTGTCAGCCAGGACATGTCACAGCTCTATCTGTGCAGAGTCACGGTGGCTGTTGTTAAGAGACAGAGCAGCTTTGATAATGACAATGGGAAAGAAAGAAAGACGAGAAAAATAGCAGAGACCAAACAGGGAGACTATTGTTAAACAGTGCTCTGTGTGTATCTGCTGCTGCTTGCAAATTATGGCACTTGAACTGCCCTGAAGATTATTAAAAACCTAGGAAAGACTACACATCACACATAACAACCATTTCCACCAACACACCGAGATGTTTCATCTTGACAGTTTTAATGGAGCACATGCTGGAAAAGATGAGTAAAGAGGACAACAGGCAGATTATGATTAAAGTCCTATCACTAGGCAACCTCGGAAATCCCGTGAAAAGACTTGTTTGGTTATGTGCAGTACTAAATGTACTTTGCTTGTTAAATGTGCCTTGCTAATTATTCCTGCAATTTGCACAGGAGAGCAAAAGAAACGAGGGAAAAGCACTCGAACCACAACGACTGTTAAGTTCTTGGTTCCCACAAACAGGCGGAGCTCGAGGTGAGTGAGTATCATCAGAGTGAGCATTAAAAAAAACACAGCAGATCTGAGGCTCTGGACCGAAACCTGATGAACTGGATCATAAAACAATTCTCATATTTTACCAAGGACCGAAACTAAAGATTATTTTCATTATTGATTAATATTGATTCTTTTCTAAATCAATTACTTCAACAATCACAAATAGTGAATAATGCCTGTCACAGTTTCCAAGAGCGTGAGATTATGTCTTCAAATTCCCTGTTTTTTTTCTCCGTTTAAGTCTAAAATCCAAAGTTATTCAGTCTACAATGATATAAAACAGAGAAAAGCACAATATATATTTAGGTTCGAACAATAACTTCAGTGATTATCTGATTATCACAATAGTAGCAGCTTAATTTTCTCCCGTAAAAGACACTGAATCACAAAACAAAAGATTAGACTATCTCAAGAAAAGAAAAGCTGTGTTTCACTGCAGCTTCAACCTTCATCTCTGACCACAAGGTTGTTTTGTCGCACCTGTAGCCACACACACCCAACAGTGATGTCACGAGTCCTGGAGTTCACCTGTACATCAATGTAGGAAGGTGAGAACATCCCCTGAAAAAATCTTGTTTTTGCAGACCTCCAGTCACTCTTTAAAAAGGTAGTCGAGTGTTTGATCACCAGTAACACCATGGAGCAGTGGTTTTATGTGAAGGTCCTTATTTGCTTGTATTGCCGATGTTTCATTGCTATTCCACAGACTGACAACTGGTGGCAGTGGCACGCCAAGATACACAGCAATGAACACGAAAAACATAGAAGAAGAAGAGTGCTGGCAAGAAAACACGGACGTACACGATGACAGTTTTAAAACACTTTTAAAATTGGCTTTGCAGATGTTTACTATGAAAAGGAAATCTTTTCAATTTGTTGTGTGGTGAGACACTCTGAGTGTAAACACTGAACGTTACCAAAAACTCCACAGGGTACCTTTAAAATACACTGTCAACACAAACTGACCCAAGTGTAACAAACTAAGTCCGACTTGGTCCAATTAGTTGTGACGATCCAATCACGACTACAACAGGTCCAAGAGCAATACAAGACCAAGGGTGAAAAAAAAATCTCCTCACCTCTGCTGTTCTTGCACAGCTTCGACCTCCCGTTCCCTCTGGCTCACCAATAAAACCCACCAATGCGCTGTCGACACATTAAACGACTACAGACGTGTTCTGCCTAATTCAATACTGCCCTTAACATCCTGCGTGGGCGGTGTCGAGCATGCAGTATGTGGTACTGGCATCATCACAGCTCCATTTCACGGACCCATTCAATGCAAAAAACTCTTTTCTCTCACCATCAGCTCTCTTGAGGCTTCAAAGCCTCTCCATCTCTTTATTGAGTCTCATCAGCAATACTCCTATTGGTATCTTATTTACACGGGCTTTTACCTCTTTTGCACGGTCAATACACTCTGTGTCTCATTCACTCGCTCACATTTACACATGAACCGCTTTTTATTCCAAGGCCATTTTAGCACAAATGGAAAAAGAAAAAGAAGCCTTAGCTTTTAGTGAGATATTTAACTAATGACCATGAAAACACATCTGATTAATTCATATGATGCAGGGCTGTGGTAGCTGTGCTGCCCCTCAACACTGTATACTGCGGAGTGTGCGCTTGTAAATATTTGATGGCCTTTTGACCTCATTAGCCATGATTGAGTGAGCTCTCCGGTGCACACTCATATGTCTTAGTCACCGACTGGAGATACAGCCAGAATGGAGCTCAAGCTCAGCCATTACTGTGTGTATGTGTGTGGCCTGGTCAGCAGTGGATCAGAGGCAGAGGGAGAGAGCGATGAGGGTGGTTTATTCAGTGACCTCTGGGCCGGGCTTGTTAAGAGGTTTCTCCGTCTCTGGCTGCAGACTCCGCCACAGTCTGCCCTTCACCAGAGGAGAACACCACAAATAGAGAGACGGGAAGAAAAGGAAAAGGCAGGATCCTGCAGCTATTTATAGTTCTCTGTGACACTTTCCGCCTTGTCCCCAAGCAATCATTGACCCTGCTCGTCTTCCTCCACCTCTCCAGCTCACTCACCTGCCGAATGTCACTCCTATTTAGGTCAGCAGAGCCAAGGTGACGGCGCATTAAAGGCACATGTGAGGCCTCCAGAAAGGAATTAGATCCCTGGGACTGATATGACAGAGAGGAGAGCGGTGACGGAGGGAATGGGTGCAATTTGGATGTGGCAACATGATTCAGAGGTGTGTGATTTTGTTTGTTCTCATTTGCCTCACACAGAGGACATGAATGCTACAGTTGACACACACGCACACACACACACACACTGCTATGATCCTCTGTATGTCCAGATGCTGCCCTCTAATCTCAGGAGTCCATGGCTGGCCCAAGCACTGACAGATAGAGTGGTAAACAGTATTAACGCACGGTGATGAGCAATTATTTGCCCGACCCAATTGGAAAAATGATCGTCAGAGAAGACATGGCCGGCTGTCGCCGGCCAGAAGGGTCGGACAGACAGACGAAATGAGATTGGAGTGGGCTGAGGGTTTGTTCAGAGCTTTAGCCCTTTCATAATGATTCCTCAACTGCACTTCTTTTTCCTGAGAGAGCAAACGGAGGGAGACAGCTCCTGACGAGTCAGAGAAACCGAGGCTGAAACATTCAAGTGCTTATCCATAATTAGGTTAAATAACGAGAACAACGTACAGCTGCTTTTTCGCTACTCACAGAAGTATGTTTCTTTTTCCCCCCGTCCGTCTGGCAAACTCTCTTGCAGAGACAAAAGAGGATTTTGTGCAACAGTATGTTTTCTGCTCTTTCACTGGCAAAGTCATAGCCGTGTCAAAAGGAGTTGTTTCAAGCTTTAGTTCTAGATTACAGCCTCCTCCCCAGAGTGTCCTGACAATGTTAATGTCAAAAGCTTGTTCTTCAGGGCATGGCTAGCAGAATAACATGGCAGCGCAACTCTATAGAGATGTTTGTTAAACTAGAAAGAGGGCAAAGTGGATTTCATCAGTCCATGATGAGGTTACAATGTACATCTAAAGAGGACATGGTAATAGGTTCCAGTCAGCGTGCCCTGCCCTGGGGAAATGGGATTTACTGGCCTCTCGATCTGTCAGGTTCAACTAACTCCCCCCTCTCTTTTTCTCTTATTGTGTCTTTCTCAGTCATCCACAACTGTTGTACCACCGACTACTGTATCTCTCTGATTCTAACGCACAGCAGAGCCACTGTGCTGTGTGAACAGCTGTGACTTCACTCCAAGTTGTGGGAACTGAGGTGAAGATGCATCAGTGCGATCTGAAAGTGTTTCAACATAATAAAAAGAAGTGGTTGTACGAGTCAACACAAACACGCACAAAGACACTCTCCACATTAATAGTCAGTGTGTACATTGCTAACAAGTCACAACTATTTAGCATGAATAAACAAGGACTGCAAAACTACCCAGCTATGAAATTATTTGAAAATAATACAAGGTGAAAATTTACATTGCATTTAGTCTGAACGCATCTTCTTACTGGTCAGTAACAGTGAGCGCTGGAGATGTGCCAAGCTGTACCGTGGCTAATCCAAGAATATTTGAATGGCTCGGCGTGGCCTTAAATGCCAGTCCTTTCTTTTTTTTATGTTTTATTCACTTCAGCCTCCTTTTCCTCTATGACAGCCTCGCTCTTCAGTGTGAGCAGAAAAAGAGCTAAAGAATCTGTTTCTTTTTTTCCGCTCTCTCTCTCTCTCTTATTGACAAAGAGCAGGATACAAAACTTTCATGTAGCAGCTTCTCATTCTGAGCTGGCACTGACCATCGCTCTGCCCGTTTAAATGGCAAACACTGCCCTTTAAACTGACTGTGGCCAACTTACACGGATGCCGTCAACATAACGTGACGACAGACCCGATTTAAACGTGACTGGTGTCAGTTTTGTGCGCTCTCTGCAAGCCGGTGTCTGCACTCTGACGAAGACCATTTGTGAGAGAAGAACATCCACTCAGTAACACCACTGTAAAATCACTAGCATTTCTGTATCTCCAACAAATGTTATAAGTCATATCTATCAATCACCCATCAGTATTTGGATCATGTAGCCCTTGAAAGATAAGGTGCCAAATTTAGCTGACTGCACCTTTTATTGCAGTGTCAGATATAAACACTTGAACGAGACATCCCTTGTGAGAACATTCTCTGGCAACTGCAAATGAGAAAGTTAATCTGTAGAAATGTCAGTCAAATAAACTTGAAAGGGAAACTTTCTTCTCACCATGACCCACATGAGCAGAATATTCTCAAAGATGTGGAGACATGTTTGATTCTCGCAACTTGTCTGTGCCCCTGCCCCTGCTGCGGACCCCGTGCCCCGGTCAAGTACGTGCTCTTCCACCAGCCCGACAACTCTCTAATCTCCCAGTCAGCAGCCTGACACAGCCTTCAATTTGGCCTGTATGAACCTTAACAACCCCCATGTACTCACACTAGCATCAGCAGCCACCAACCGGCTGGCTGTCTGCAAAGTGCTCCTTCTAGTCTCCTCCCTCCTGACTCAGACCAGCTACCTGCTGGCTCTGGGAGTTCCAGGAGCAGAGATCCAGACTACCAGCTGGGCGGGGGTATGACCCTTGTGCTCCTGCAAAAGGAGGTCTGTGGGAGGCATCAGAAGCCCACTGAGGAGCTACAGGTCATGGTCATCCTCAGGCCCCTCTTAGCCTTGTAGCAGCCAGGGTTTGATTCTCTGCTGAAGGCTGTTACAGCCTGATGCTGTGCGTACAGCTGGACACCCATCACCTCAAGGTAGCAAGGAGAAGAGTGGGAAGGGGTGACATTTGAACTCACCTGAGTCAGACTCTGCATTGAGCTGTGAGGTTAAGGCAGACCACTACTCCAGTTACTAAAAGCACTAAAGAGCCAGACGAAGAGGAAGAAAGAAAAGAAGGCAAGAGAGAGAGGTCACAGGTGAAGAATATGTGGAGGAAGAAAAGAAAGAGGAAGAAATGACAAGCGAGAAACACAGCACAACATGGAGGCAGAGCAGCAAGACACAAGGACAGAGAGAGGAAGTGACAGAGCCAAGTGAGGAGGAAGAGGACAGACATATGAATGGAGAGAAAAATGATTCTTGAAGGGGAAGAAAAAGAAAACCAAGATAAGCAAAATGCATGTCAGGAAGAGGAGGTGGCCAAGGCAGAAGAAAAGAACAGAGAATAAGAGACATGGAAAAACCAAAGAGGACAAAGAAGACAAAGAAACAATGGACATGATGAGCGCATTGCTTGTAGATATGAGAAAGTGTACCAGGTGAAGTGAAAAATGATGCAGTGTGTGGAAACAGGAAATGAAGGAAAGATAGAAAATGAAAGAAAAAACTACAATTGTGGCTGCATGCTGAGGAGCACTCTGGCACACTGCACTGCAGTATTAGAAAGTACCCACCTCTCCATTGCACATTTAATGTACTGTATAAGCACAACACCTCACTCCACTGGGCTGAGCACAAATGCAGGGAACGTGGATCAAAAGACAAACTAAAAAAGAATAAACCAGCAGTACTCCAACAGAAACACCTGCTAATTCCCCCTAGAAAGAAAAGACTACAAACCCCACCGGCAGGGCAGCTGAGGTGACTCTGGAAATTAGGCCGAACCAAGATGGGCTAGATTTAATGGAAATGGAGAACCACGCTTGTCAGCCAAGACCTTTGAGAAAAAAATGTAAGAGCCACAGTTCATGCGGCAGTGCTATAGCAGCATGCAATCACAAACCTAGCAGCTGCAGAACAGTATCATGGATGGAGTAGATTGAAAGTCACTGACATATAGAAAACCACTGAATCCCCTCTGACCTTCCTAAATGAGTGTATCGGCTTATCAGGTGAGCAGCAAGACATCAGCCAGGTGTTTTATCCAGACATTTCAGACAACACTCCAGCCTGCCATTGCACACAGGCATAATGCATTAACATTATTACTAAGAGACTCTATAGTTTATGGGGAAAAAAAAGCATAGAATTGGAGCGTATTATGGAGCAAAGTATAACTACAAACACTTACCTCAATCAGGGTCACCTACTAATCTAAAGAGCTTCCACCTACGCACAGAGGCAGTGCAGTGGAAGAGTAAGGGATATAAATGAAGGTAGGAAAGGTGTAAATTTGCCATAAATAATATAACAATGTAAAACACTAGCAGATTTGTACGCACGCAATCTTTCATACTCCATACTACCCACACTGCTGATGACATCTATATTAATATGTCGAGGTGTGTGAGGGTGTGTGTGGCAAATGTGATGTTGCCTAGTTTTTTGGGGGCGGAGTATCCCTGGTTATGTCACTGACTTTACACTGATGTTATTTTTACATTTCTGGAAACATGAAAATAACTTCTGTTGAAACGAACACAACAAAATGGGACCAGATACATTAGACAGTGTAATGTAAAGTGAGTGTACAAGTACTTTACTAACCTGCAGACTTAATGTGCTGGTGATGTTGGCTTTGGGCAGCGAGATGGCCACACTGGTAATATTGGTCTTCTCCAGCCACTTGGACAGCAGTTCCAGGGTCAGCAGCTTGTCCAGCCTGGCCAGATTCTCAACGTGGAAGGGCAGCAGGAGCACCAGGCTGACCTTGCCTCCCCACAGAGGCGCCTCCACAACCTGCACCATGTTTTCCACGTCTTCATGGTGACGGTACAAACCTGGACGAGAGGACAGGAGGAGTCAAGGAGAAAAGGGAGTCACCCGAGTTCTCACCTGCTTACATTAAAATAAACTCAGGAAGAAAGCACTACAGAGTCAAACTGAATCTGTTTAAAAATAATGTGAATGCAACCTGCGACAGGATGACAAAGGACCACTGAAATAATCCTTTTCATGAATTGGAAATGACATTATAATATAACATTAAACAGAAAACAGTGTATCCGTCCAACATCTTTTACTGCTGTCATAACAGAAATTCACTCTGCCTCGTTGTTGTTTTAAGACAATACATAAAATATGAAAAGCGTGTTAAATAAATTATAAGGTACACAATGATAAATAGGAGGGAAGCAGATTGGACCTTACAGATGTTCAAGCCATTTTAGAGTTTGATTCCTTTTCACTTCATTTATTTGCTGGCAGGCCTGCAACAGCGACAGACTGTGGTTTTTTTTTTACCTGCTCTGTGCATCATCATCACTTTGGTGTATTTCTTCCCCAAGAAGGTACGACGATCTGCGCTCTCTCCGCTGAACTCTCTCTCCCACAGCCCTGAACACACAGCCAAACAAACACACAGCTTGACATAGATACATTACATATCGATATACTGTATAAGAAAATGCTAAATGATTGAAAGAGGTGGAAAGGTGGCCCGCTAAGTTAAACAATGTTCATAGAATGCACATAGACCTCACACACGGCGACAGCCCTTGTGAATCATCGATTTGTACTGCCTATTAAAAAATGTCTACTCTTCTCAAAGCCGTGGAGTTGGGAGTGCCATACTGAGGCAGTTATGAGGTCCTTAAGGCCACAGCGTCCCATTCAGGGTTCACCACATTTCACTTGGCCCTGCTAACCCCATGACAGCTGTCAATTTAGGAGGGGAAGAGAGTGGTGGAATTACTGTTGTAATAACCTCACAACACATTGCCAAGGTTACTAGCCCCACTCAATAGAGCAGGGCACATTGGCTGGAGTGAGAAGGTCGACAGATTATGACTTGTACTTATGTCATTCTTTGTGAATGACACCTGGGGGCCAGCCAGGGCTTTAACTAATGATGACTTTCAGTATTGATTCATCATTTGAAAAAAAGCAATGCGCTCATGACACAATGCTAAGGTGAAAGGAGGCCAAGACTAATTGCTTGGCTTTATCAATAAATACTTGCAGTGGACAAAGTGTGTGGAACCTTCTTTTCTCCATATTATTGATTCATCGATTTCAAATCACATGTTCCCAGAACCCAAGGTGACATCTTCAAATTGCTTCTTTTTTTTTTTGTCCCAACAGCAGTCAAACAGAATGAAAGTACTCAATTCAAAATGATATTGGACAGAGTAAAGGAGCCAATTCTCTCATTTGATAGTGAATGTTTGGCCAAGAGATAAAAACAAGAGTCTGCAGCTCTGTCAGGCTGTGCTCAGTTACAGTCGTGCTCTGAGCTACATGCTAACATCAGCATGCTAACATGCTGACAATGACAATGGTAACATGTTGATGGTAAGCTGGTGTAATATTTACTATGCTCAACTATGCTTACTTTAGTGTGTCAGCATGTCTGATAACAATTTGTAATTTGCACTAAACACACCTGAGGCCGACTGAGGTCCGTCATTAGTTTGGCAGGTGTTTAGACGTAAACCAAAATACCAGACAAATTAAAACTTAGACCTGATGATAACGATGGATGAAAAGTTGAGGTATGATCAAAGTTATTACACATGATCTTGAAGCGTACGTCAATATCAATTTCATTTCATCCTCTGGACACCATGAACCAGATTCAGTACCAACCTCACAGAGATGAAAAAGAGGATCCTCCTCATGGCAAGTAAAACTGAACTAATATGCAAAATTTGTGCTGCTTTAAATTGGTTCCTGATAAATTGATGTCAAATAATTTCCTGTGGATCAATTAGTCGACTGATTGTTTCAGCACTCAGGGATGGCTGTCCCCAAAAAACCACCCAGCCTCATTTGGACCCCCCCCCCCCCCCCCCCGCAGGCATGCTAGCACAAGTCACAGACATTCGCTTCGCTTCCTGTAACATCAGAGAGAGAAATATGATCCCAGTGGAATTCACAAACAACTGGCTGAGGGTTACCTAAAGTGGCAACCGTGTTGTTTAAATGATGTCATGACGATGAACATTTTCTGTGTAAATACTATGAGGTCGTATCGAGCTGGGGTTAAATTGATGACCTCACCAGCATGCACAGCAGACTCGTTTGATCTCCGTCAGCGGATGTGTGGGTCCGCGTCTAGACAAGCGGACCTGCGCTGCATTATCTTCTTTTGAAAGGACAGCGCCGCAGCGGAGAGATCACTCGAAAAAACCTGAATCTATTAATATCCATCGACAATAAACAATGAAACAATTGCACAGCTAAGAAATCCAATCGCTCACAGACTTACCAATTTATACTGTAAACGTCAGGCAAAAAGCAGAAGAGAATCAATGAGACCGACCGGTTCCCTCTCCTCCTTCATCAACTTTTGATTACAAGTGGTTATGGTATTTCAGTGGCTATTATTAGAGGTTAAATATGTGGGGACTTGTTCTCTCTTGCCATTTTTTTCTCTCTCCTCCTTCTCCACGTTGTTGCATTAGCTTCTGTGTAACTTTCTCTCAACTGTTTTTTTTTTTTTTTCTCTGCAATCTTATTTTTCCTCTTCCGTCTCCAGTGTTTGTTTGTCTAAAACAGGAACAAAGCCTGAATTAATTAACTAGTGTGGACTGGAACTCCCAAGGTAGGCCTTTTACATCCCTCCACCATGTCTGTCAATCTCTTTCACTCTCTCAGCAGGCCACCCTCTATTTCTTTACTTTGCTTGGTTTTCAATCTTTACTTTTCTCCCGTCTCTTTTACTCTGCTTCTCTTTGTCCCCTTCCCACCCAGAAATCTCTCCTTATACTGCTCTGTCTCTGCAGTCCTCTTGCCATTCTCTTTGCCATCTCTCTACTATAAACATGTTCCACTACTAATTGCCCCTGACCTTCCCTTTCTTTGAATGCTGTGTTCAGCCCAGGGAAGGAGGGACAGCAAAGAGCTTTTTAAACCCCCCCCCTTGAATAATTAACTAAAAGGAACCAAAGTGAAAAAAAAAAAACAAAAACAGGCAAGGAACCAGATGCCTGCTGAGTGCCAAAAGAAATTCCGGCACCATCTCTGAAACCATTACATTATCACACACTATCAACTGCCTTAGGACCCTGAAATCAAAGACAAATAAAAAAATAAAAAAAAATGCTACAACAAACCAGAGGAAGCTAGAAAGAGCAAGAAGCAAACTATCGACCACTTTTAAATTATGAATCAAAACTAAAGGAATCCAATTTCCCGTAATCTAATTTGTGCGCCGCAATCTGCTGTATAATCTAATTTGTATATTTCCTCCACAAAATTAATGAACCGACCAACGAGGGTCGGTTCACAGAAAAAACTAATTTCGTAATGAAGTCAGAACATCAAACAAAGAAAATTAATTAAATTGCTTATCAATGTATAGTCTGTCAGGGAATGCTATTTTCAGAGGGCTGTCTATCTGTTGGCAACCTGTTTTCACTTCAGCAACCTTGCCTTCTTTGCACCTAATAAAAAGAATACCTGCAGGAGGAAACGGAGGAATAGAGGCAGATGGACACAGATAAGGATGTGAACAGGAGACACGTGGGAAGAGGAGAGAAAGAGGAGACAGGGTAGATTAGACACGTGATAAGGGGCGACAAAAGCAGAAAAACAGAGACAAACGCCACAAAAAGAACAAGTAGAGAACAGAGGGATATGTTTAACACATCATCGTCATCATCGTCTTTGGTGGCAAACAAAGATGAGATTCTACATCAGCAGGAATCAACTGTTGTTCTGAGAAAGAGAGATGATAAATTCCTGAAAAGTTATCATGGAGAAAAAAAATGTATAAACAAAAAAAAAAAAAAATAATCATAATAATCATAATAATCACAATAATAGCTATTTCTGACTAATGAGAAACTAAAACCCAGTTGTTAAAATACTGATGCCATTTAACAGCCTAATAAAAGCAGAAATAAACCTAACTATAATCTTTAATGGTGCTTTTTAAAGGAGGGGCACTATGATAACTTCAGACAAGGATTAGATGGATATGGTTTTGGGATGCAACTGTTAAATCATAGATGGATCATCTATCCGACTGAATCTGTATCGAAACACTGACTAGTGCTCACCCCTGCAGCCCGTCACAAAGACCAAATCTGAGCCAAGCTGCGCCGCCGCAGACTTGGAGCGTTCCAAGCACAGATGTTAGGCATGACACCGAGGGAGAGAGTCTGGACACTTGTTACTCAATTATTTAAGATGACACATCACCCCCCAATGGAAGATGAATAAGCTCTCAGTGATAGACCCCAGAATCATCCTTTATCTGCTGTGTCCACCAGCTGGAGTCCACCGCATGAGCACACACACACACACACACACACACACACACACACACACACACACACACACACACACACACACACACACACAGCACACAGGTGGGCATACTGGCACGAACAAGATAGTGGGCAAACTGGCGCATGGGCTGTCTGTGCAGTCTGAGCACTGAAAATGGTGCACGTGCACGCCATATTAATATTCTAAGACCTCTCATCCAACGCAGCAAACAAGTCCCGCATAGAGACGTCCCATAATTCCAAATGACTCCACAATTACAAAGCACACCAGTCTATTTCAGCTCCACTCAGTCCAGCCAAGCCTCTGCGTTATGTGTCTACATCCAACCTCTTATGACACTGGATGTGCACCATAATGAAATATTCAGTTGGCTATGCATCATTTACTGTCACAGCCGATTTTGACTTGTTTTGGACACACTGACAAATTATGACACGTTTGCTTACTATTTCATAACCATCATTTCCCTTTACCCAACCAATGTCATATTTTCCACTATTTTGTAACCACAAACCAAAGTGTGCATGATAAGCTGGATATAATGAAGCCTGCTTTGTAAACTAGTTGTTTATCTACTGTGCACTACTTCTCCTCACCTTTAAAATGCAGGGCATTGGCCAGTATCAAGGCTCCGGCCTTAGCCTGGATTTTTGCCTCCAAAGGAGCTCCTTCCAGTCCACCAAGCCCGGCTTTCGCCCAGCTATGGAGCTGCTTCAGGTCAGCCTTAGAGTCTCCCTTCCCCAGTGGCCGATGCTGCAGCCTGAACCTGGCCTGGCTGTCCTTCACAAAGGCCTGACTGACCGCAGGGGCTTGCTTAGAAAATACAGCTGAGGAAGTGTGCAGGTGAAAGGTAGTCACATTGGCTTCAGTGAAGCTCTTCAATGCCCCGGACAGAGGCTCCGCAGCCTGGGCTCCGGCCTTGGCAGGGGAAGGAGTCTTAAGGAGGTCTTGGAGCTGGCTGGCAGTGGTGCCTGCAGAACCACCACCCAGCGCTCCGAGTGAGGAGGCCACAAGCAGAGGTGAAAACAGGGTGTTTACTGAGCTCAAGTCAGAGCGAAGGGCCTGGTACAGGCGCAGACCCAGAGCCCATGTGGGGTCACCCAGAAGAGGAGGCGGGCGGGGTGGAGGGCTCGGTGGGGCAGCAGTGCTATTCTTGGAAGAACTGGTTGTGCTGCCCTGCACCAGGAGAACTGGCAAAGAAAAGAGGAGATACACAGGAAGTCTGGGCAGCATGGCAGATCTAGGGGGAAACACAGGAAGGGCAGTCAGTATGAAGGTTTGCATCCAAAACACAAACTGTGTGGAATGAAGAGAATGCATTCCTCTAATTTGTAGAGCAAAGAAGATAGCATTATTCACTGCAGATATTTTGACTGATTTTTAACAGTGTAACAGCTACTCATGCTGTTACTGCACCGTTCATGTTTGAGATGAACCAATATAAACACAGCAAACAGCAGCCCCTTCTCCTACAGTGCCACAGCAGTAAACTTGATGTGTAAATTCCTCCCCACTTGGCAACGTGGTTATTATCTCACCCGCTGCGCAAAAACCAGAGTGTGACAATTAACTTTGATGAAGTTTCAAAGGAAGATTTTTGGTCTAGGACTGAACAAGTGGTTGAAAAGGAGAAAATAAAATGCGCATTTTTCTCTCTTGCCTTCCAAAAAACAGAAACCCGACTCATTGATTTAACCGAGCCGGTGACAGGAGTGACTGGAAACATCTGTCGTCTACCTCAGCCGACGCTGTTATGATTTCCTCTGCGAGAAAGGGAAAGAAGGAGAGACGTGTTTGTTCAAATTTACCGTTATTTAATTCAAGTTTATCCCCTCTGCTCCGCGGCTGTCCTTTCAGCTCTGTGCTCCAGAGGAAGTGGGGCTGGGACCGGGCTCAGACGTGGCAGCACGCAGAGGAAGTTCACCTCAAACTTCACCACCGGACGGTGAACTGCACTTCCAGAAACTTCCAGACCTCGCAGTAAAACGTCCCTACAACCATAGTGAAATGTAGTGACAAAGCGCCGTTCCGTTTCGGTTAAAACCTTACATGAAATCCCGTTTTTAATACAGATATCACCGCTAAACATGCAGCTAGATGTATAATAATGTATTAATGTTTGTACAATCCATTAAAGTCGCCTACCACTGGAAAAACTGCAGGGTGAGGTCACTCTTAAGTCACTTGTGGTATCTGAATCCAACTGGTTTATGCAGACATAATACTTTTATGCTTTACAAAACCATAATTAAATATCACAAAGTCCCTGTAGGGCTACGTTATAGCTGTTCCAGGGATTATGTGCATGTAATGCTGGCCCTGGTATAGGTTTTTAAAACGAACAAAAATCCTCCAGTTGTAGTAAATGAGGCGTTTCTCCATACATTCAAAAGAAAGCTTTGTGGCTTCGCCTGGATAATAAACCCTCTTGTTCTTGGCTCAGTGGGGGTTGTAGTTCCCTAAGCCATTCAAGCGGGGTCGCTAATGGTCTTCTCATGCCTCAGCTTAGTGACCCTGTGCGAGACGGCAGCATGTGGGCCAGGGCCTCCCAAACTTGACACCCAGGCCTCCCAGTGGGAAGGATGTAGAGCACAGAGCCAGCGGGCTGATTGGTTTAGTCAGGAGCATCCATCTGAGGAGTTTTTCTTCCTCATTATGATTTGGTCTTAAAACTGTTTGCATTTTGGGAACATTAATTAGGGCAGGGACAGTAACATTCATATTCAAAATGGGCCCTCTTTTAGATTCTTCAATGTTTTAAGTTCTAGTTAATGAACTTAAATTTGCAGGGGGACCCCCACACACTCACCCACACAGTCCCAGTCCACCGTAACACCCACCCCACCTCACTTTGGAGCAGTTATGATAATGTAGTCCACTGTCAAGGAAAAGTAGGGCAGACTATGCGAGCCTGTATTACGTCTGACCCTTCCAAATGTCCTCATTCTGTATTCTCCTCATTTTCTTGTTTTTCGCCTCCCTAAATTGTACCTGCCCTCTCCCTAAAGCAGAACAAGGAGTGGAGAGCAGATAACTTGTAACACACGGCTTCGGGACAGGGATTATTGCCCAAATTGAAAGATGGAGAATGGTCATATAGGGTCCTAATCAATAAATGTAGAGATAGACTAAGGAGGCTAGAGAAGGATCAGAGAGGGATATGGAGGAAGATAACTGCTCGAGACCACCAATGCTCAGCAATCAGGCCGAACATGACAGCTTGTAGACCCAACCAATCATTTACCCCAGCCAAATCAATAGAGCTCTCTCCGAAAGATAGCCATCAGCAGCACTATCTGGAACACATTCACAGCAGAAAGCACAAACACACACTGAGCACTCGCTGCCATTCTCGCTCTCCATCTCTTTTGCAAACGCACCACACCAATATACACACATTTATCTTGCAGACACTTAGTTATCTCACTTCCTTGGAAATAAGACACACATCATCTAATTAATACTCCGAGAAGTGGACTACAAAAACAGTATATGTCAAACTACACCTACTGCGATCACGAAATAACATCACAGGGACACTTAAAAACAAAACACATACTTGCACGCACGCACACACAAACACACACACACACACACACACACACACACACACACACACACACACACACACACACACACACACACACACACAGACACACTTTCATTAGCAGCCTTGAAGCCACACTGACAGGCTGAGGATACACGTTGTTGGTGATGAGTCGATGTGTGCAACCTCAGAGGTCGTAACCCTCACCAGAGGAGTCAGCGCCCCCTCCTCATGGGACCCCCCCCCCCCCCCCCCCCCCCTCCACATCACAGTCAGTCTCGTCAGTAATGAGCAGTGACACAGATTACAGTGCAGGTGATTCATAAAAAGCTAGCTTGCGCCGCAGTAAAACGAGCCCCCGGGGAACTGGTTGGGAACCTGAGAAGCTCCTCAGTCAGTGGATTGGGCATCTAGGGATTTATAACAAAAAAAAAAAAAAAAGACGCACTTTAACCACAATGCACCTCCACATCTTTCCTTTTACCCCGCCCCTGAGGGGATCACCTGCATGTTGCCTTACTTACCCTCACCTCTCTGCACCTTGTCCAAGTCACGAACCCCAATTCAGTTTTCCAGCCCCAGATGTCATTGTCTTAGGCAGTAAATGTTGTATTTCACCTCACATGTGATCCGTTTACGCGGCCATCGGCCATTGTTGTTGGTTGTTATTGAGGTAAAACGCCCCTGGCTCAAGGGCCTCGGCAAAAGAATCAACACCTTGCAACAAAGGCCGTTATGGTCCATGCCAACTGGCCTAGAGCTATATCCACTCGCCCCATGCCCTACTCCTGCTCCCATTTTCTCCGTTTTTCTTCTACACACATTCACTGGTTCACACATATTATAGTGTTTATCTTATTCTACCCTTCTCTTCCCGTTTGCTCTTTTCAGAATGAGATATTTCACTTCATACCACATTAGCCCGGCTTCCTTACACTCATTTTCACTCCATAACTTCATTTTCTTTTCCTTTCCTTTTTCATCCATGCCTATATGTTACTCTGCCTGAGGTTTCAGTAGTTCTCTCTACACTCCTCCTGCCTCTGGGGCCTCCACACACACATACATCTAATTCCACCTCTTTTCTTCCTTGGAAGAGAAGTGACACAGGACATAAAGCAGGCAGAAGCCTTTCACCATAAAACATACCTTAAACAAAAACATAAACTTTTCTCATTAATACATGAAAATGTTCTCCCACCTCCACCTTCTCTGCAATGTCTCCCACCTTCTCTTGCTCACTGTCGACCCATTTCCACTCCACTTCTCACCTCCTCTCATTCCCTCACCCCTACTCCTACTCATTTCCCATCTCTCCTCTGATTTTCCTTCCTCTCCAACGCCGTTTAAATCTCTCCTCATCCCTCTGTGTCTCACAGATTTTGGAGTCCGTACAGAACAAACAGCGTGTAACATGTGAGCTCCTGTTCTCGTCAGTTCTGCTCTGCCTGTCTGTCATCAGCTCTGGCCCGTTTCAGCCAGTAGAGAGCTGGTGGACGGGTCCACAGGGCCCTGTTGGTTTCTATCAAGTTCCATTGTGGTCCTTTCAAATTAAAACTCTTACTTAATGTCTGGCAAAGCTGCTAAACTGCAATCATGATTTTCACTGGAGCATTGCCTTAACCCCAGCTTCATCTTTGCTGGAGATCTTGAGCCAAACCTTGATCATAAATACAAGGTAAACACATGTCAGTCTAACAGTATTGTTTAAAGGTCACCAAAACCTTGACCTTTGCAGTTTTTATTTTATTTTATTCACTATGTATCGAAATCAGCCAAGGAAAAGAAAGAGTGATGAAGGAAAACAAATAGCCACAAAAGTAAAAGGACAACTGAAGGTAACAGCTAAAAAAGATGTTTAGGTTTGATTTAATGATCTAAAAATACACATTTTGGATGAGATTTGGGGAGTGGGAGATGAGTGTGTCCCCCAACTGGGATGTTTTTTTCCCCACTTTGAATCTAGGGCAAAACTTTATAAGTCAGCAGGAGGTATGGGTGGACAGATGGAAAAGAAGGGAATATGTGTATTTAACCGATGGAGGGAAGAGAGAGGGGGCAGTGGCAGTAGGGGTCGGGGTGAACATGTTGAACAGTGCCAAAATCACAGACACATCTGCTGTTCATCTCGAATGTTTCCAATAAGCTTTAAATGTTTCCTGCAGCCCTGTGAAAGTGCACAGAGCTGCCAAGACAGAGGGGGGCAGTGGGGGGGGGGGTTGCTGCTTGATTTTCTTTGTGTCTGTGGTGAAGAAGTAGGTGGTCTCTCACCTTTTTTTTTTTCTTTTTTTCTTTTTCTTCATTAGACGTTGCAATAAATTACCCCAACTTCAGTGAAATGCACAGAAGTACAAAAGCAAAGATACACGTCTCCTTGGGCACACATCTACACAGCAAGAAAGGCAAATAAGTGGCTTTTAATGTGTTCAGTGAGTCAGACAGAAAAACAAATACCAGGCACCCACAAGAGCACACAGCTGCTTCAAGCAAGTGTTGACAACTATCTTTATAGGAATTAAATATTGCTCTTAACCCCACCCCCAGTAACTGACACACACCTGTGAATCAGATCACTCAGGCTCCGACTCCATGACATTAAATCAACATGTTCTCTTTTTGACGCATCACACTGAACACACACAAACCCGCACATAATGTGGCTAACACGCAACCGCATACACACAAGCACACAAAGAACTGTCAGAAATATGGATACACACTTTCATAAGACAGATATGTTGACACCCACACCCACCCACCCACATACACACACACACACACACACACACACACACACACACACATACACACACACAGCTTATATCCTCTGGCTGTGAGTTTGCCAGCAGCCAGCTGGTACTGTCATGTCTGATAGGCTGGAACAGAGACAGAGACAGAGACGAGGCCGAGAGAGGGAAGAAGGAAGGAGGGAGGCAAGCTGGGAAAATGTCTACAGCAGAATGCATTAGTAAGACCCCTGTCTGTCTGTCTGGATGAGTGTGTTAGTGATTGGGAAAACTGTATCAAACCCTGGCAACTCATTAGACTATCTCATTTGGGTCCATAGGGAGTATTCCGCCATCCTTCATTTCATATCCTCTAAACTACGGGACGTTTTCATTTCTCTGCAGCTCTCCTCTTTTCTCGAATAACCATCCGTTTATGTTTTTGATCTTAAAGTTTGTAATATCTAAATAAACTCAACATGATCATGACAGTGATGAATGCTACTTTGACACTTCTCATGAGAAAGAGATAATATTATTGGTACCGCTTCATCTAGCTGTTAAACAATGTTGTTTTTAATAAAAGGGAAATAAGTGAAATTTCTGCTGCCCTGCAAGGCAAAA